GGGAATGGGATGAGAAGGGAATGGGATGAGAAGGGAATGGGATGAGCTGGGAATGGGATGAGCTGGGAATGGGATGAGAAGGGAATAGGATGAGAAGGGAATGGGATGAGGAAGGGAATGGGATGAGAAGGGAATGGGATGAGGAAGGGAATGGGATGAGAAGGGAATGGGATGAGAAGGGAATGGGATGAGCTGGGAATGGGATGAGAAGGGAATGGGATGAGAAGGGAATGGGATGAGAAGGGAATGGGATGAGAAGGAAATGGGATGAGGAAGGGAATGGGATGAGGAAGGGAATGGGATGAGCTGGGAAGGACTGGATGAGCAGGAAGATTCCTCAGGCATGGGCTCAGGAGCACCTGAGATGGGCCAAGGTGTCCCTGCACTGTCCCAGCTCTTCCCAAACCTCCTGCATGGAATCTTGGAATGGTTTGTGCTGGAAAGGACCTTGGGGATCATCCCACCCCCTGCCAGGGCAGGGACACCTTCCCCAATCCCAGGCTGCTCCAAGCCCCGTCCAGCCCGGCCTTGGGCACTGCCAGGGATCCAGGGAATTTCCAGGGGGGTTCCTCATGGAATCAGGAGGAATTTCCTCATGGAATCAGGAGGAGTTTCCCCATGGAATCAGGAGGAATTTCCTCATGGAATCAGGAGGAATTTCCTCATGGAAAGGGTGTTCAGGCCTCAGAAGAGCCCAGGGAGGTTTGGAGTCCCCATTCCTGGAGGTATCCAAGGAATTCCTGGATGTGGCACTGAGTGCTCTGGGCTGGGGACGAGCTGGGGATTGGTCACAGGCTGGACTCGATGATCCTGGAGGGATTTTCCAGCCCCAACAATTCCAGGAACATGGATAAATGGCATCAGTCTCCATCTGTGCGCTGCCAGAACCGGCCCCACATCCACACCGCCCTTTGAAAACTCCCACTTTTCCCCTCATCAACAACATTCCAAAAAAACGATCCCAATTTTATGATTCAGCAAAGACCAACCTCACCCGGCCGAGCTCCTGGAAGCCACTGGGGTTTTGTCATTTCTACTCCCAAGGAATTTCCTTTTTTAACCTTGCCCAAGCCAGGAAGCCGCCTATCTATGGCCAGCAGTGCCCAAAATTTGGTTTTCCTGGAATTTTCCCCCCTTTCCCTCCGCACACCCACACGCTTCAGGCTTTTTAGGATCGTGCACTCTAATTTGGCATTTCCAGCCTGCTGCTGTGGCTTGGAGAGAGGCTCCACTTCTGCCCAGTCATCCTCCTTGTGCAACGCTCCCTTCCCCCTTTTGTGGGGCCACAACCACCCCACAACCACCGGGAACAGGAGGAAACCCAGGAAGTCTGGGGCAAAAAAAAACCAAAAAAAAAAAAAACCAAACAAACCTGAAACTTTCAATTTCCAAAGACACAGCCCCAAAACCAAAAGGCCCAAAAGCCACCGCTGTGGTTTCCCTTTGCTGGAGTCAAGAGCTGCTATTTTTGTTAAAAATGTGGGATCTGGGGCCCTTCTCTTCCCCTGCAGGAAGGGGGGGATGCAGCACCCCGGATTAAAAGCAGCTGACTGATCCACAGGGCTCTCTCCCATGGATTCCTCAAATATTTCCTGCCCACACTGCGGGAAGATTTCTTTGTAAGGTGAAAGAAAGTTGGGGGAAAAAGGGAGATTTTTGGGAAAAATTCCATCTTTCTCATGGTAATTTATGGAATTTTCTCCCCCCTTTCTTTCCCTTCAGTTCTGCATCATCCTTGGGTTTCTCAGCACAGCAAATCCACACCAATGACATCATTAAAAACTTGCCATCCATAAATTGCATAAATTGCAATAATTAAATTGCATCAATTAAAGCCACCTGCCCGGGGCAGGAATGGGATTCCAGCACTTGGGAAGAGTGTTGTGGATGTGACCTCACTGTCACCGGGGGCATTTTGAGCCTCTAAACCTCTGATCACAAAGATGGTTTTCATTTTCAACAACTCCCAAAAAAATCCTGAGCTGACAGAACAAAGACTTCGGTCTTGTCTTACTTGCTCTTATTAATCTGAGGTGTTCTTTTGTCATTAAAAGATTCTTTAGATGACAAAGAAGCGCCAAATGTGTCAAAATGGCACAGGTGGAAGTGGCTTGAGTGTCACTTGTGTGTGTGTGAGCAGCTGTGGTGGCACATTTTTGTTCCTTAACCTAAAAATGAGTTTATTTACAGAGGAATATCCCAGCAGGATCGGTCAGAGGTGTCCAGAGGAGCCCACTTTGGGATCCTTTTGGGATTCAGGTTTTGCTCTGGGATTCCTGCAGCTCCCATTGCTCCGTTCCTGAGTTTTGTGTGGACAATCCGCTGTTTATTTTATATATTTTAAGCTCTTTTCTGACGCTTCCCAGCAACAAAGTCGCAGTTTCTGTAGCCAGTGACAAATATCAGGGAGCGAGTCACAGCTTCCCAAAACAGCCAGGCTCAAAGAGAATTCCAGTGGCTCAAAGAGAAGCAGGACCAGGTCCCAGCACAGAGCTGGGGAAGCCACGGTACAAAACTATCTGAAATTCCTTTGAGGACTGAGCAGCCTCCTACTTTTCAAAGGTGTTCCCGAACAATTGTGAATTATTCGGCTGACAAAGCCTTATCTCGGCAGCCCCCGCGCTCCTAATCTCCCACGGAGCCGCACCAGGGTGAATTCTGGAAGCCAGCAGGCTCGGCACGGCGCGGCTCCAAACATGTGCACAGCTGATTATTTCCACAGCCTGCAAAAGAACTGCGCTAAAAAAAAAAAGAAAAAAGAAAAAAAAAAAAAGTAAAAAGTTATAGGATTCAACACTGAAAAAAAAAATTAAGTGTCAGGCACGGACAGACGCCTCGGAGCGGGGAGATAAAGGGGATGGGGCGGAAGCGGGTGGCGGGGGGTGGCGGGGATCGCGCGGTGTCCCCGTGTCCCCCCCCAACATGGCAGCAGCGCCCGCCGCGCCCCACGTGCGCCCGTCCCGCCGGCGCGCCTCTGGCCCCGCCCACCGGGGGAAGGTCACGCCCCTTTTCTGCGATCTTGCCTCTGATTGGTTTAGGCCGAGTATAACCACGCCCCTCGGAGCGGCGGGACGCTCTGTGATTGGCTGCGTTACGGCGCGGCCCCGCCCAGCGGCGCTCGGCGGCGCTCGGGGCCCGGCCGGGAGCGCCGCCAGTTCCCGGCGTCCCGCGGCGGAGCCGGCGGCGGCTGCAGCGCCTCGCTCCGCCCGCTGCTCCCTCCTGCACCCCTCTGCTCCTTCCTGCTCCCTCCTGCACCCTCCTGCACCCCCCTGCTCCCTCCTGCACCCCTCTGCTCCCTCCCCCTCCCTCCTGCACCTTCCTGCCCCCCTCTGCTCCCTCCTGCACCCCTCTGCTCCCTCCTGCTCCCTCCTGCACCTTCCTGCACCCCTCTGCTCCCTCCTGCACCCCTCTGCTCCCCCTGTCCCTCTGCCCCCCGCTCCTGCCCCGCTGCCGCCGCCTCCATCCCGCTCCGTGCCGGGGCCCATGGAGCTGCTGTGCGTGGAGTCCGCGCCCCGCGTGCCCCGCGCCGGGCGGGACCCGCAGCTGCTCGGGGACCGGCGGGTGCTGCAGAACCTGCTGAGCCTGGAGGAGCGCTACAGCCCGCGCCTGTCCTACTTCCAGTGCGTGCAGCGCGACATCCAGCCCTACATGCGGAAGATGTTGGCCTTCTGGATGCTGGAGGTAGCGAAACGCGGCGGGGTTCCCCGGAGCTGCGGGCCCGGGGACAGCGCTGGTGTCCCGAGTGTCGGGCGGGGGGCGATGCCGCTGCGGGTGGAGGCTCCGCAGGCAGCTTTGCAGCCTCTCCGTGAGTTTGGCTGTGCTGAAATTGAGATTCCCCCATGCAGGACCCTCCCCCGAACACAAAACCAGGGGGTGAGAGACCCCCTAAAAACCTCCGCTCTGCCGGGCAGCCCCGAGGCTGGGGGAAATAAGAACGCTACTACTGACTTCCCTAAATTAAAAGTGAATCTGGCTCTCTCTGGGATGGAGTTCGGGGCGGGGGGGATCTCATGGTGGGCTCGCAGGGAAAAATCTCAATAAATGAGGATTCTGCAATGCTGGCTCCTGCCTTTTCCCAGCCGGTGCTGCAGGAAGCTCTTCCAAAGAAATAATGAATATTTTAATTTTAAAGGGTTTTTTTCCCGCCCTGCTGTCACTCTGTTCCTGCAATCCCCGTTTCAAGAAGGGTTGTTTGATAAATGCCGCGTTGGAAGCCGCTCCTGTGGAGCCCTAAAGGCAGAGATGACACTGGCGGTTGTCACGACCTTCGTGTCATTGTCCCCATGGCCGGGACAACCGCGGCTGGCAGGAGGAGGAGGAGGGTGGTGTTTGCTGCAGAATGAGGAGAAACCGCAATATTTTTATGGTTATGTCGAAAGAAGGAAGTTCAGAGTGACAAGTGTCATGATGCTGGTGGCAGATAAGAGCACAGGGCTGAAATTTGGACTTGCTGGACTCTGCTGGTGGCTGAGGGAGGGGACTATGGGGACTCGGTGTTGATTTGGGTGCTGCCATTGATTCTCCTCGTGTCCCTGGGGTCTCCAGGTGGAACTGCCAGCCCTGGATCCTTCTCTCCACTCTCCAGCTGGAGCTGCTCCTTTGCTCCAGAGCTCCCCAGGGCAGGGGTGGCAGCTGGCTGGAGCCATCCCCAGCAGGGCACAGCAGAAACGGGGCCAAAGCAGGCAGTTTCGGATTTATTCATGCACTCTTTGGAGCTGCAGCTCGGTTCTGCTGCTTTCCACAGGAAGATGAAGCCTCAGGATGCGACGGGGGCGATGCCTGCGGCTCCTTCCCTGCCGAGGGCGCCTGCCAAGTGTGAAACAGCAGCTCTGAAGCTGTGCTGAGCTCTCCTGCGCTCACCAAAACTTCCTTTTCTCTCGTGTCTCTGCCCCCGGGGCTGGCCAGGTGTGTGAGGAGCAGAAGTGTGAGGAGGAGGTTTTCCCGCTGGCCATGAACTACGTGGATCGTTACCTGTCCTCCGTGGCCGTGCAGAAGAACCACCTGCAGCTGCTGGGAGCTGTGTGCATGCTCCTGGCCTCCAAGCTGAGGGAAACCATGCCCCTGACCGTGGAGAAGCTCTGCATCTACACCGACAACTCCATCACGGCCCAGGAGCTGCTGGTAACGCCCTGTGCCCCCTCCCAGCTCCTGCTTGGCATCGCTGTCCTGCTCTCATCCCATTCCTCTCCTCCTTGGGGAAGGGTTTTCCGTCCTCCCCGTGCTGGGGAGCAGAGTTGTCCCCTCCTGGTTGTGGAGGAAGTTTCATGTGCCAGCACCGAGCTGTCACTCTGAGTTTTGTCACTCTGAGCTGTCACTCTGAGTTTTGTCACTCCAGTGACATCTCCCAGGCTCCAGGCTCTGGTCAGGCAGTTCTGGTAACGCCCTGTGCCCTCTCCCAGTGCCCAGCTCCTGCTTGGCATCACCATCCTGCCCTCTGATCCCATCCCTCTGCCTTCCCTCCTCCTTGGGGAAGGTTTTTCCATCCTCCCCGTGCTGGGGAGCAGAGTTGTCCCCTCCTGGTTGTGGAGGAAGTTTCATGTGCCAGCACCGAGCTGTCACTCTGAGTTTTGTCACTCCAGTGACATCTCCAAGCTCTGGGTCAGGCAGTTCTGCCTCCCCCCAGCTGCAAAAAGCGGGGAATGTGGGAGATTCACTTCCGCAGCAGCAGGAAAAATGGGATTTTAGGTGCAGAGTGAAGCAGCAGAGTGGCTGTGAGGGGTTTCTGGGCTGGGGCGCTCCTGGGGAGGTCACTTGGTGTTCCAGGGTGGTGGCAATGAGTGGAATTCCTGCTCTACCCCTCCATTTCTCACCCTGCATCCAGAAAGTTCCGTCCTGAGGCTCTGAAAGGCCAAATGTTCGCTGGTGGTGTCTGATGAGATCCAAACCCGTGAGCTCAGCCTGCGCCACGAGGCAGGAAATGGGAGAAAAGCCCTTTTTTTGGGGCTTCAGGAGGGAGCAGTGACCTCCCCTCGGTGACAGAACATCCCTGGGGACCGTCAGCTCCGAGAATCTCTCGGGGTTACTCATCACCGAGCTCAGCAGCTCTGGTTGTTTCGGGCTGGGCTGATCTGAGTGTGATCCGTGCCCCAGGTGGGCAGCCAAGCCACAGAACTTTCAGGTGTGACTCGAGGGCAGTTCTGGGAACTGCAGAGCTCTCTGAGCTGAGCCTGGCTTTTCCCAAGGCTGGGGAAAATCCCCTCCCCTCCAGACCCCTCTGCCTGGAGTCATTAGTGGGTGGTGATTGCCTTAATTAGCCCTCAGGAGCCGAGGAGTGCTGAGAATGCCCACAGGAAACTCCTTTTTCCCTGGATGCTGAGCCCTGTCCTCATCCCTGACTCCTTCAGCTCCCAATTGTGGCTCCCAGTTGGGTTTAATTCTGATTAATTTGCTGATTTTTGATGAGGATTTGCTGTTCCCAGCTCAATCTTGAGCAGGTGAGGAGTGGGCAGAGCATCCCTGGAGATTCTCCCTCATTCCCAGGCTCCAGGGTTAATTCCTGCTGATCTTTCCTGCTCCTTCCTCCTGGGAGCTGGGGATGGAGGAGGAAAACTCTGCTCCCTGTTCCTCACTCCTGATCCTGCAGGTCTCGGTCCTGGAATTCTCCTTCCATCCAGTTTTTCCTCCCATGATCCTGGGTTGCTCTTGGATGCTTTGTGGTGGACTCCAGAGTTGATCTGGATGAAAACAGCTTTAATTTGGGAGTCAAAAGAGCTTTTTGGGGGGGCTTCTCCAGGCAAACTGGATCCTTCTCTTCTTTCCTGATGGGAATGTGAGCACTCAGCAGAGCAGAGGGTTATTCCTGTTTATTATCCAAGGGCTGGACAGAGGAATTGGGAACCAGCCTGGCCCGGAGGGAGGGAAACTGAGGCACTGACCTGGAGAGTCCCTGGATTTCCATGGATTCCAACCCCTTTTGGAGCACGTTCTGCTCCAATAAAGAGGGAATTGAGGGAATATCCAGGGACCTGAAGGATTTGCCCTGGCTGTGGGACCTGAGGGAATTAAATCTGGATTACAACACCCATGGGAAAAGTCATCTTCCCTGGATTTCCATGGATTTTACGGATTTTAACCCCTTTTGGAGCACATTCTGTCCCAACAAAGAGGGACTGGAGGGAATATCCAGGGATCTGTGAAGGATTTGCCCTGGCTGAGAGCCCTGAGGGAGTTAAATCTGAATTACAACACCTCAGAGCTGCTGCTTCCCCCTCTGTGCTCATGCCCTGCTCTTTCCCAACCCCCTGGAAGAGGGTGGGGAGAGCAGGGTCAGGGGAGCTTCTTCAGCAGCCTCTGGACAATCCTGGCCTCCCTTCCATGGCCCGGGGCCATCCCAGCAGGAAGCTGGCTCACATTCCCAGGGGCTTTGCTTCCTCCTCCTCCTCCTCGGGCCGGGATGCTTGGCAGCAGCTCAGCCCTTCAGAAAGGACACAGAACCTCGCTGGAGTTATTCTGGGGGAGAAGGAAATGATGCAAGGAGGGATTTGTCCATTTGGAGGAAGTTGGATTTCCGTCCAGGCCGTTCTCTAACCCACCTTGCTTTTTTTTTTTTTTTTTTTTGTAATTCTTTCTTTTTCATGCTTTTTTTTTATTTTCTTTATCTTCATAAAGAGTTTGCTGGCCTGGGGAAGAGGGGGTTCAGCTGCTCAGAGCTTGGGGAGAACAGCTGGAAATCACCTCCATCCTCCTGCTTTGGCTTAGAAATCTTCAGCCTCGGTTTTGCCAAGGGATTCCCTGGAAAAAGAATGAGGAGCCTCCAGGGAGAGGATGCAGGAGCAGCAGTGGGGAGTGAAAATCAGGGAATAAGAGCTGAGGGTGCAGGGGTGTTCCCAGAATTTGTGTTTCCCTTCTGGTGGCTCAGCTCCATGCTGAGCTGTCACCTGTCCCTTCACACCCTGACCTCTGCTCAGGCCGTGGAAATCCAGCCTTTTTCCCACATTTTCCATCTGCAGAAGGATTTTGGTGCTGCAGCTCCCCCAGCCCCTGGGAGTGACCTCAGGAGTGTCCCCAAGCGTGTGACAGCACCGAGGGCCCTTCCCATCTGCAGGGCCAGAACCCAAAATCGCTGCCAGCGAGGGCAGGACTGGCTGTCACTGTCACATCCCAGATGGAGCCAGACGTTCCCTGCCCTTCTCTGAGGCTGCTGCAGCTTTTCTGGCAGCACCAGGACTCTTCTCACCTGGGCAGAGCAGGAAAGGCTCTGGGAATTTTGGGAATTTTCCTTCCTCCTTTATTTTTTTTGGGTTTTTTTTTTTTGGTTGGCTGAGGTTTTTTGGTTGGTTTTTTTTTTTTTCCTCTGGGTACAACCAGGAGAGATCAGCTCACACCCTGCCGTGTGTGATTCCCAGCCCCACAGAGCCCTGCCCCGGGGGGATCTGGCACGGGGGAATCCGCTGCATTCCCAGCTCTGGGATGGGCAGGGAGGAGAAACAGGAGAAACAAAAGGACATTTTCCACTTTCTTCCTCTGCTCCACTCCCCAGGCAGGGGCTGATTCCGTGAGGAAAAGCCAGGAAAAGGATGTTTGATGTTTGCTCCATCGGCTGTCACTGGCCTGGCCTGGCCCGGCCGCTTTTGTTCTGTTCCTTGAAGGGATCCGACCCAGATCCCGACCCAGAGGCTGCTGGGGCAGAGGAGAGGGACGAGCACGGGGCAGCTTTGGCAGGAGAATCTGCCCTGAGCTCTGTCCTGGCCCCTGGGGACAGTCCCTGGGCCTGGGGACAATCCCTGGCACCTCCAGCTGGCACTGCCAGGTCAGGGTGGCCTCAGGGATCTGGGGGATAACGAGGAGCCAGAGCTTGTCCATGGGCAGGATCCATCCCTGGGACAGGCTGTGCTGGCTCCTGTCCCATGGCTGAGGGTGGCAGGGCCTCTGCTGGGCTCTGCTGCTTCCCTTGGATTGGGGGATTCCTTTGGGGTTTGCTTCCCTTGGATTTGGGGATTCCTTTGGGGTTTGCTTCCCTTGGATTGGGGGATTCCTTTGGGGTTTGCTTCCCTTGGATTGGGGGATTCCTTTGGGTTTTGCTTCCCTTGGATTGGGGGATTCCTTTGGGGTTTGCTGTGTGAGGAGGGAGCTCCAGGCCCTGCTCCAGTGGGGAGGGACTGCCAGACGTGTCCTGTGTCCCTTCCCAAGGACCTGGAGGAGCTTTCCCAACCATCTGGAGGCTCCTGGGTGAGGAAGAGGTGGGGACAGAGCTCTGCAGTGGCTCTCCCCTGTGTCCCTTGGCTGTGTGTCCCACTCAGGACATTCCACACCCGTCTTTCCTCCTTTTCCCAAGCCTGATCTTCCTCCTCTGCTCCAGTCCCTCCCTCCACCCAGGCACTTGGTGATCCTCAGGCTCTGCAGCTCTTTCCCAAAGCTCCTTTTTGCTTTTATCCCGTGGATTTGGCTTAAAAAACTTCCAGTCCTGGCAGGCTGGGCATCCATCTGGGAGGTGGGAGGCAGGAATGGATTCCTGGGGGGAAAAGCAGAGGCTGGGAAGTGGCAGCTTGGGCCCAGGGTGGGGGTTTGGAGCAGGTTGAGCAACGTGTTTGAGCAACTCAGGGTGGGTTTGTTGTGTAAGGGGAAAGAGGGAAGGGGGGGAACAATAAGAAAAAAAAGGGGAAAATGAAGATCTGAGCTTAGGAAAAAATGTCACTTCCTCAAATCTGTCTGTTCTGGAGCTCTGGAATCCTGAATTTTTTGGAGAAAAAGGAGATTTGTGTTGGGCAGGGTGAGGTCCTGAACTTGGGACACCTGGCCAGCCCCAGCCCTGCTCTGGACCCTCAGCTTCAGCTCCTGGGGGGTTTTCCTTTCCCAGCAGGGCCGCTGTCCCCTGTCCTGGGCAGGAGGGACCTGGGGACACCCTCAGGCCTTTCTGAACCCCCAACCCAGATCTGCTGCTGACCCATGGGATGAGGGGAAAAGGGGCTGGAAAAATCCTGGGAAATGGGGGAGTTGATCCTGGCAGAGGTGACAGCAGTGACAGCCCAGCCAGCCTCCTCGTGTGTGGCCCCCAGATGGATTCAGCTGCTGCTCCAGCCTTGCCAGAGCTGGGATTTGAGGGCAGGGTTCCCAAATTTTGTGCTGAGGCTCCAAGTGGGGCTCTCCTTGTGTTCACCTTGGCACCCCCTGAGCCCGGGAGCTGTGGGGGGATGGCTCTGCCAAGGGTTGTCCCCATCCCTGTCCCTGGCAGGAGTGGAGCCAGGAGGGGCTCACGGGGTTCAGGAGCAGCCGGAGCTCCAGCTGGAACTCAAGGGGCTCCAAGCCTTCCACCATCTGCTCCCAGCCTGGCTGGCTCCTGGAGATCCCAGAAATCCCTGCTGGATTTTTGGAGGGAACACCCCGGCCTGGGATGGAGGCATTGGCAGCACCTGGGATGGCCCAGGGGGTGTTGGTGTGGCTGATCAGTGCTGGGGATGCTCCGACCACACTTGGAGGCTTTCTTGGTGGAGAAAAGGGAATTTTCTGCCAAAAAAAAGAAAAAATAGCATTCCCAGCTTGGGAATTCCCTCCTGCCCCAGGGTTTGTGGGGCAGTCACAGCCCTATGGTTGCTCTACCCTGAGCTGGATTGTCCTGGGAGCCTGGACATCAGCCTGTCTACTTGGGAGTGGGGAAGGGATTGGGAATGGTGTCCCTGCCCTGGGTTTCCCTCTGTCCCTGCCCTGGGTTTCCCTCTGTCCCTGCCCTGGATTTCCCTCTGTCCCTGCTCTGGGTTTCCCTCCCTGGGCTCTCACAGCACCTTGCAAAGCGAGCAGTGTCCAGGGCTAATCCCTGCAAAGCAAAATCCACATTTTTTGCTCTGCTCCCGGCTCTGAGCAGCCCAGGGCTGGAATTGTGGGGACAGCCCCTCTGCCCTTCCCCATCCTGCGCTGGCCCCGGAGCCTCCTGAGCCATCCCATAACGTCCTGTCCTTGCTGACCCCGCAGCACTGGGAGCTGCTGGTCCTGGAGAAGCTCAAGTGGGACCTGGTGTCGGTGATTGCCAACGATTTCCTGCCTCACATCCTGCACCGGCTGCCGCTGCCCGCCGACAAGGCGGAGCTGGTGAAGAAACACGCGCAGACCTTCATCGCCCTCTGTGCCACAGGTGGGTGCTGGGCCCAGGGGTGCTGGGACACCTGGGATGGGCTCCCCACCTTTTTTGGGAGCTGGGTGTCTGCCTTCATTGCAGTCAGAGCCGTTCAGGGTGGGATAACGCTCCTGGGGGCTCTTAGATGCCAGGAGAGCTGTGCCAGTCTCTTGCTGTGCCTGTGGGAGGCTGCCCAGGGTTCAATCCCAACTTTTCTCGGCCTCTCCCTCAGCCTCTGGAGCCACCTCATCCCAGGACTTCTCCTGAAGGCCTGGCCCTGGTGCTCAGCCTGTTCCATGCTCCTCCATCCCAGTTTCTCCCCGCCACGCCGCGCAGAGCTCTCTGCGAGACCCTCCCGAGCTCCACAGGGAAAATCCCTCTCCCAATCTCCCCCTGCGTCCTCACTGACGGCTCCTTCCCCGCTCGTGTCCCTGTGCTGGCTCCAGACTACACCTTTGTGATGTACCCCCCGTCCATGATCGCCACGGGCAGCATCGGAGCCGCCATCCACGGCCTGAGCCTCTCCCTGAACGGCTTCAGCGGCGAGGCCATCACGGAGCTGCTGGCCGGGATCACGGGCACGGAGGTGGTGAGTGGACACCGGGAATTCCAGCTGCTGGGAACCTCCCTTCTTCAGATTTTCCATGGAGCGTGGGACTGGGGAGGGTGTGGAGTCTCTGACCTGGATGTGTCCCCGTGTCACCTGCTCCGGGTGGCCACGAGGAGGGAGAGCCTGGGATGGATGGCCTGGGATGGACTGGCCGTGGTGATGGGCAGCCAGGCACAGGGATGGACTCCAGAGGGCCCTTCCAGCCCCAGCTCCTCTGGGATTCGGTGGAATTGCGCTGTCCAGACTGGTTTGAGGAGAAGCAAGGGCTGTGGGATGATCCCAAACACAGCCCCGGGCAGGGCGGGCTGGGCTCGGAGCCTTTGAAATGGCACACAAAGGGCAGGATCTGTTCCCTGCCGGGCAGGTGGTGACAGGATCGGGTTCTCCGCCTGGGATGGGGACAGGGACACGTCGGGCTCGGCATCTGCTCCCCTCAGTGTCCGGTTGCAGGTGCCCTGGCTGGGGGCGGAGAGGGGGCTGGGACATGAAACATTGCAGGTTTAGGGACATCAGGATGGGGGGGTTCTCCAGCCCCTCTGCCACCCTTGGAGCAGGGACAGGGATCCCACTGGGCTCTCCAGGTCACTCCAATCGGGAGCTTTTCTTCTCCCCTTTGATCTCCTCCCTGCCCAGGTCAGTTACAGGAGCTGGATCAGGGGTGGGGGTGGCTGCCACGGGGCTTTGTCCTGGCGGGAGGCTCCCGATCCATTTGTGCAGATGGAATTTTTTTGTTCTCCTTTTTAAAGAGAGAAATCAGTGCAGCCACCTGCTCCCAACCTGCTCCACGAGGTCGGGGCTGTGCAGGGAACAGGTGGGAAGCAGGGAGGGTTCTGTGGAGGGAGAGGAGCTGAAATGGAGCCCAGCACCCTCCTGTCCCTCCCCAGCATCTGCTGTGCTCCCTGCCCAGGTGTGGGGTGCCTCACAAACAGCTCCAGCCCAAGCAGGACTGTGGCAGCTCCTCCTGGGATGTGTCCACAGAATCTGGGGCTCCTGGGAGAGCACCTGGGCTCGGCCTCCCCCACCTGTGGTGCTGCTGCTTCTCCCTGAGCAGAGACACAGTCGCCAGGCTGTGACTCAGTTTCCCTTCTGGAGGAGCCATCCCCTTCCTGCAGCTCCCAGGCCCATCTGGGCAGTGCTGGGAATGCAGGGATGCTGCTGCAGGGCTGGGCCAGCTCCTTGGCCAGCGGGAGCCTGGCTGAGTGTGGCTAGGCTGGCTTTGGCATCTCAGCCAGAATTGCTGATGGAGAGGTGGAAGAGCCCTGGGATGGTCTGGCCATGGAGATGGTCAGCCCAGGGATGGTGCTGGACAGCTGGGGATGGTGATAGAGAGCCCAGGATGGTGATGGACAGCCCCTGTCCAGGTGTCCATGGTGATGGACAGC